TCAACAAACAAATATATTTTAAGTGTAGTAAAGTTCTTAATAAATAGTGGCACACATCAAAACCTCATTTAGTACATCCATCAAAATTTCGAAATCCCATAGGAAACGTCATGCTACAATCAGCAAAACAAAATCCCTCTGACTTTTGTGTATCATTACTGACATAATTTACAGACTGTAGACAGATATATTCTTACAAGCAGAATAAGACGGACGACGTGCCAAACATCTTGGCTATTTTTACTCCGGTGCTGTAAACACGTGCCTTATACTGTATTATGTGACAATGCGGATAAGAGATAGCTGACTGAACCTACTATTACTACGCCCATAACGACAAAACAGGTGGAGTCGTCACCTGTACTACCTGGACAAATGTTTACTGACAACGCATAACATGGATTTATGTGGGTAATATATTATCCCACGTAAAACGCTATTGTTGGGACAGCCCTACTACTATATATCATACGACCAAAAACATGGGTGTAATGTCCCCCAACTTCACGAGAGTCACAGCTGGATCGAGTATGATGTACATAAGTATAAACTGAAACCCAAAAGTTGGTTGTTTTTCCCCAGTGAGGCCCATGCCACTTAATGACCGCCCGCTTTTAGGAAGAGGCAGTACAATGCGGAAACTAGTACTGTCGACTTATGCCTGGATAATGATAGATAAAAAGATAAGATGACAGTAAAAGTTTGCTGTTTATTTTTTACTTAGACAATATTTTATTAGTAAGACTGGAAATGTTTAGCTTGAGGCCTACCAAATATTGTAACTGGATGTTCCGGTTTGTTAATGAAATTGACTTAATCTATCTTTAATCTGAATGGTCGTAATTCTAGAACTGGAGAGTAATGATTTTCTTGACCGAGTAGTAAACAAGAATGTTTTATAACGTCATCAAACGTTACGGTTTTTAATTCGTTCTAACAGGAGTAGTCTTTCTTTAAAGACTTCCATTTAGCAACGCCCGATGTCGTTATGTTATAAAGTGAGGCCGTCCTGAATTTTAAAGACGTCATTCTCAAACAAGTTTAAAGTTTTTGAACATTTACAATTCTCCATCGATGCTTTAACAGCTGCGACTTTTAATCTGGTTAGACTCGATGATGATCAAAAACATTATCAACTCATATTATCAAATGGCGTATAAAACGTGGACAATTTTCTACTCGAGTTTAACCGCTGTTTAAAAATTGGAAAAGAAAATGCTAGAAATTTTTGCAAACGATTTCTGTAAATAGAATTAAGTCAAATCGACACATCATCTGACCAATTAGAAATGTTCTAGTTGCTATCATTAACAAGCAATGCTTTCCGTTAAACGAGCATTTTAATTAAAAACAAGTTGAAGTAAGCAAGGACGATAGAATAATTAGAAAAATAATTACACCTAACTGGCTAACAATCGGGTCAATTATGATATGTCAGATTAAGGATAAGTTGAAGTGACGTTGGTAGCATGGTTGTCGTCACTTTGCTGTGACAGGCGAGGGCGAAGAGTATAACAGATTGGAATGGATATCCTTCCTCTTATTATATCAAACTGCTTGGAGTTGATGGGTTATTTCATAAAAGATTTATTCTTTTTGTTGTTTTTAATAATAATAAGATTCTACCGAGTCGACGCGGCAAACTTTCCGTTCGAACGTAACAAATATTTCCAAATGACAATTATATTATGAAAGTCGTGTATATTACAATGATGTATCAGAACAATAACTATTAAATCTAATATTATTCTTGTGTGATAAATTTACGCAAACGAGCCGAAAGTCACAACGCATGTTATTCGATACAAAACCCATCATTCTGACTACTCAGGTATCAATAAGTGGATGCAGTGTTATCTTACAGCCTGTCACCGCTCGGTGATGTGCAGTTTGCATTGATGACTCAGACCAGGACCCATATATAAAGTTGTTCGAATGATGTGACACTGTGTGCTTGCGTCGGTGCTTCTGTAGAAAGTGACGTGTCATTTAGCAGCTTGGCGATGATGACAGAATTTGGCAGAACATTAGCTGACATTTCTAACAATTTGTTTTTTTCAAATCTGTATCTATAAAGAGACCGTGGTGTAGAGTAGATTAATAAGCAACTTGTTTAAGTGTTCATTAAATTGAAGTACCAAGAAAGTTTCGTCTTTCGTTTGAATTCATTAAGCTGAAAACTAATGAAATGTTTCTGCTTCTGGTTGTTGACGTGCAGTTTTACATATTTCTCTACTCTTACATCAAAGAGTGACGTGTCATTTGCTACGTTTCCTTCGCAAATAACCTAGTATAACAGGCAATGGACATAGCGCCTTGGCAGGCGTGTATCATTGGCTTTACTTACCATCATTGACATACCATTTATCGTTTGCACACATTAACCAACTAAACATTATTAGTCAACCGTTGCATTTAGCTGGTAAAAGGTGCCCGTCTATTTTCTCTGCTGACGATCACGTGATGCCAGAGTACATAATGTTTCTGCTTAATTACCCAATCACGTTGTGGCTCTGGTTGACGTCCATGGGGCCGGCCATGATTAAGATGCAGTGTTGTAATTAAGGAAGAAATTACCACCTTACAGTTAATTATTAATGGCCAAACGCAGGCCACGTGACGCATCTGACAACTGACATGATTGGTGGAGGACTGATTACGAAACTCTTGTGACGGATACGAAGCTACGAAGGCCATAAAAGTCAAATTAATCAAGATATTGCACGCAATTCGATGACCTTCTCCACTTTAACCTTATACCTCCCAATTCAAGCTAATGTGAATGCCATCTTGGAAAATAGCGAAATTGAGATTTAGGAGAGATATATCCCAATAAATTCTCTGATAATTCTTTCAAACTTCTTAAATGATGATTCCCATAGAGATCTTAAAGAAAACGCTGCGAAATTATTTTATTTTCTATCAGCTTATTAATTGAAACTAATAAAGATATTATATCTGAGAAAGATAATCGTAATTTCTTACAGCCAATTACATCGCAGAAATAAACAACACAACACAACTTAACATTGAGTAATAATGAAAATTTATAATATCTTCGTCGAGAAAACGTTAAGATCTACTTTATTTTTGATTTTTTATTCAAGTTAATCGTGTAAATGAAACATAAGATCTCAATGCCTATGTATTAGGTTAACCCAATTGTCCGATTCTGACCTTTATCCCATTAGTTTAGGCTTAGGATTGCAGCAGCTTCGTCTATACGGGTATTTATTTAATCTATCTCAAGCACATTTACACGCACACGACGATGAAATTAAACAATTATAAAATAAGATTTAAAAAATCAAACGTTGCAACTGCTGAAAGATTATACAGTAAATGCGTGTATCAACTTTTGTTTTTTAAAATTATCTTTAGTTATAATACTATAAGTTATACACGATTCACTTTTAAATAGGTTAAATGATTGCTAGATCTACACCAAATTAATTATTTAGCCTATATAGAACTAAAATATCAATATGTTCGTAACAATTTATTTTATTGCCGTAGACTTTTTTATGTAGTTCTATTCTCTTATCAAGTAGATTTTATATTCTTTAAAATTATTTGAGTAAATTTTTTTATATTGTGAACATTAATAAAGAACAGAGTTTAAGGGCTACAATTAAATTCAGGTGACTCGTGGAAAGTCTATTCAATAACAAATTAATCTTGTAAAATTTTTTGTGTTGTTAAAAAATCTTATGATATAAGACATTCTCAAAGAGAGAAGAATTTATTGAAAGTAAAGAGTGAAGGAAATGATGCAGCAGAAAGTGTGACGTCACAGGCCAACAATAGCCCGGCTTCGGCGCACACAAATGTCCGGCAGTCAGCGTGGTGTAACGATACAATATTTCAGATTCTTGCACCAATTGGGAGAAGGTTGCAACTATCCTATCCACACACACCATCTTTATATATTGTAATAAACTCTCAAGCCAGATGGCTTCGGCTTCACTATAAATCAGCTTTCAATTACAACTGGCCCGTCAGTTCCGATGCTTTCCGCAAGAGGGCAGGTAAATCAACGTCGGCCATACTAGAAAGTGTCCCTAGAGTGTACAGTTCGCCGTAATAATTATTGGCTGAAGCTGGCCGGATGACACAACAGGGAATACCGAGGATGAGGTACCGAGGCTTCTACTGAATTCTTCCCCCCGCGGAGTAGAATGCAGTAGAAGTAAGTCGTTAACTGTCTGTCTATAATTTGATGCCTTTTTTTCCATCACAAGCCAATGACACGATCTTCTATGTACTGGAGCCCCTGGGGTTGTTCCTTATACCCGTACAGGTAAATAGCTTTTGGCTAACGACTTACTACATCTGTATTCAGGGTTAATAGAAAGTACAACTCTCGTAATGGGTTCTATTATAGACAACACAAAGCATACTTAGCTCAGCAGGGAATTCGATCTTGAGCGGAGCAGCTTTACTACCGTCTTATGGCTGACCAAATAATCTTGGTATACTCACATAAAAAAATTTACAAACATTATGGGAATCATCCGCGAATTATAGACTCGTATAATTCATTTTTAAAATATTTGATATAAAGTACGAGTTGTTCTGAAAAAAATCATTAAAGTGTTTGGAGTGTTCTTTTAATTAAAATCTAAAATTTACCACATGTAAATAATTTATAACGTGTAAAAATCTGTAAACTTACGATTGAAAACTATTGCAATCGTCACAAATTATAAGTTTTTGTAAAAACTAATGTGTCAATGTAAGGGATGTCACATGTTTACGCTGTGCTAACTCATAGATCTGTTCTATTCATTAATGCTAGTATTAGTAAGTTACGTTCACTGTTACGTTATTTTGGAATAATTTGATTAACCAGTGAACATACTTCTGTAATATTCATATTTCATTAAACAACGCTATAAAATTGAAAAGAATTATTCTGGTTTTTTTTAATCATTTAAAGTTTTTAGTTTTTAATGATTTTTTCCTACGGAGTAATTAAAGTTTAAAGCTTAGAATTTTTTCAATACGGTGATTTGATTTTGTAAAATACTAATTTGGCAGATAAATAAAAATCACAGCAAATAACGACTGAGAAACTCAATCGATAAAGGATGCTAGATCTTTCTTGTGGTTGATGATACTGAAATAATTGCATCATTATCGATTTGTTTCCTTTAATTTCAGCGCATCAGAGTTGCCGTCAAAATTTACACAGCGCGAATGAAATAAATGCGATACCGATATGTGTCCATTTAAACGTGAATGACAACAAATTGATTGAGTCCGAGAAGAAGAAACAACCTCTTTAATCGGTTCCAGGTATGAACGACCACGGTAGGATTCATTAGTAATAAATAATAACAATATAAAGATGTACATTTTTATAACCATTCATGTCACTATGTACAATGAAAACAGGGGAAGCACTCGGAAAAATTACACACCTAAGATGCAAGAAACATAAATGTCTTGTAAGTACTTGCAAAACTTCGGAGGAAGGCGGGGAAGTTAAGGATGAGACCAGAACACGGGAATTAGAGGAAATGTGTATTGCTGTACTTCGGATGTTTCAATCACAATGTTCTTCCTCCTCTGATCAAGTTTCGCAGAATCAAGTGAGGAACATTTGCACACTATTGCGAATGAGAAGGGTCGGGTTTAGAGAAAATCAAAATCACAATCCCCACTTATTGAACATTCCTGAGGTTTCCTTCGCTCCTCCTTACTATTCCCCACAATTGTCTCTGGAATGTGTTTGGGATATATTTTCGTCATTGTCCAAGATAAATGCAATACTCTGCTCGAAACTCGTGTGATTATCACATTGACGAGATAGGGCAGTTTTTGGAAATATTAGGTTCACACTTGTGAACGGTAATTATCGGAACGAAGTCTAAGAAAGAAGAGGAGAACAAGAAGCGTGAAGGCAGCTTCATTGACATTCAACTTTTGATATCGAACAGATACCTGTGTAGAGAATTATGAATAACGTGCTTTTTTGTAAAATTGTTGTCGCTTTCGGGCACCTGCTGATAACTTCAAAATGGAATCGGAAGGATGCATCCTGCAGGATGCGTAGTTCACACATATTTACTAGACAACTGTTTCGCCAATTCTGTGTATTTCAGAAATTTGGAGTGTGGCGTCTCTCCTTGAGAAGATGAATTTGGTGAATCTTTTGGAGAACTGTTACCATCTGTACTGTTTTTGGAACCCTGAGTGCCTTTCCACGAAGACGCCGAATCTGTTGTACTACCTTCTTTCACAAAATGCATTTTACTAAGGTGATGCCTATAGGCTCCTTTGGAAATGAAGTGAGTTTCACAAAAGGCACACTTCATGAGTGAATCAGATGTTGTAGCGTCATTGCAGGCCCAACTAAAAGCGAGAATTGATCCCGGGGCAGCAGGTAATGTGGGGCGTGACAAATGAGCGTCTGTTTTGTCCAAAAGTTTTTGCAGTTCTTTTAATGGATGGTCAACAGTGGCATCTAAAGAATTTTGAACGCCACTGCTCGAAGACAGAGCTGGCGAAGGACTATTTTGATCCTCCGTTTCTTCTCTTTTCGTTTTTCGAAATTTGCTATTCGTTTCCGGTTCTGGTGATGGAGTGAGAACTTTTTCAACAGGTGTAGGTGATCTAGATATGTACTCTGGTTCTACTTTTATTTTTACTTCTTGAGGACTAACAATACGCTCTGTAACGTTTTCGGCTTTAGAAAGATCTTCTGGGCAATCTGTACTACGAGGAGACATACATTCTTCGGGTTCTTCTGTTTTCACTTTATCCATATCTGGATAATTTTGACTGTCAGAACTATATGTCAATAAAGGAGATTTGGCTGGTCTTGGTGAAGAAAGAGTACTACCTGCAGTTGGTTGATCAACTACAGGAGATGTAGGAGGCGAATATACAGGTGAACTAGTGTATGTCACACTGCTGGGAGTGGACATCCGACTACGTTCATTGCATGAAGACGGCCTAACTTTATCTTCCTGATTAAAACTTCCCACAGTGAATGGAGGCAGTTTAACGTCAGTTATGCCATCCACAAGAGGAGAGCCAGGAGGTAAGCCAGGACTTTTGAGCATTCCATATTTACCTGGAGAACTTGAAGGATGCCAAGGAGGTGATACTTCTTCGTCAATCCCGAGTCTTTGAAGAATTCCAGTAGTAGAATTACCTCTTCTTCCTTTGCTTTCGAAACTTTTTTCTATTAATCTTTCAATGGCATTTAAAACCGAAGTGGTATCACTCGGATCATCGCTCACTTTAGCTTGAGATTGTTCGCTTGGAGAATGATCAGCAGAATGGCTCAGATCTTTGGCTTCTGGAGAATATCGAGAAACGTTACTAGCTGAAGTGGATGATATGTCTGATGGCTCTTGACTTTTACCATTTCCATCTGAAAGCAATGCATTTTTTAATAATTGCTGCGACCTCGAGGCATTTTGACTGCAGTTCTTAATATGTAAAACGAAGTCTTTGGCGTCGACTTTTTCTGCACACTCCTCGCAAGTTATTTTTCCATCTACAACTTCAGCCTTGGAAGACACTTCACCATTGTCGGAATGAGTTCGATTCCTTTTAATTTCCATTCTTTCCAATTCTAACAATTTACGAACTGGAAGCGCTTTTTTCCTCCTTTCCCTTGTTTGTCTTCTTCTGCCACCACCTTCTGTTATAGATCTTAATATGTGTTCCTTGTAGTGTGAATTTTTTACCATATGATAACTGAGTTCTTTGAGGCTTCCGAAAGCCTGATCACATACTTTACACGTCAGTACAGCATTAACTTGAGATTGCGAAGTCATTTTATCTTCTGGACTCCTCCAAGAGATTATCTGTTCTTGACTAATGATGTTTGTATAGTGTTGAGTAACTCTCATATGAGTAGTCATGTCTGCTAAAGTCTTGAAAGACTGACCACACCACATGCACTTTAATATTTGTCTTGTTTGTTCAGCCCCCTTGCCTAACCATACGTCTTGACCTCGGACTAGTTTTCTGGGAAGAGGCATGCTTTCTTTCATAAGTACATTAGAACTGGAAGATGCCGTCGACGATGACGATGTGGATGACGACGACTTGGAAGGTGTTGAAAGAGATGGCGGAGGAGGCTGAGAGGTAGGAGATGATACAGAAACAGGCACAGAAGCTTGCATTCCAGCCATCCCGCATCTTGGCGATTGTTTCATATGAATTGTCATCTCGGACAGACTTCGAAACGATTCCTTGCACCAAACACAAGTGAATACATCGCGAGTTTGTTCACCGCTTCTACTGATCCACTGAGTCTGCCAAGGATTTTGTCTTCCGCTCTGCCTTTTATCAGTCGTTTCTGCTTTTTGTCCAACTTTAACGTTTAGTTCCCTTGTAGCGTTTGTCGGACTTGTACATTTGTTTTGAAGAAGTGAATATTGGTGCACCATAGAAGTATGTTTGCTGGAGTTTGATGTTTTATGACTTTTCACTTTTCCGTTCCACAAGGATACTTCGACTGCAGACTTACCTGGTGCTAGAGGAAGAAGAGTTTTTGGAGCACAATAACCCCAAGGGCTACTGGGTTTCGTCAAAGTAGGGTCGATCCGAGCCAATTTGTTTTGCCGATGATAATCTGCGATGTCTTTTCTTCTCCTCGGAATGGATAAATCTAGTGGACTGTCCTGATGTTCGGGAGAAAGTCCATTTTCTTCTGGTGTTGCTATATTTAATGGCTCTTCGCTTGATTTTTTCAAGCTAAAGTCAAGAGGGCCGTCTTCTTCGGTAATATGGTTCCCGCTCTCTACACACATATTGTTGTCTGTTACACTGTCCGTAATTGTAGGCGATACGTGAGTTTCACACCTGTCACTGCTGTCCATGTGTCCCAAACTGTCTTCTTCCAAATCTTGAACGCGACAGTGTACAGGTGAATCAGCAGCTAAAGGTGTAGGACTGCCAGGCGTCGACCTGCCAGGTAAAGTTTCGGTCACGCTGCTGGTGTCTCCATCATCCAATAAATTATCATTGGACAAGTCATCTTGTCCAATATCTTGACCATCGTCCTTGTGTTCACCATCTTCCCCTGAAATAGAGAACAATTTTTGTTAAAATTTTAAATATCGAGGAATAAATTGCAGTGTAAGAAATTTTCTTGCAAATCTTAAATTCGATAAAATCGAATAAAAATCAAAACTTTTCCATTAAAAATAAAAGACATTTTACGAAAATAACCGGTTATATAAAGACAAAATATATACGTTGCTGCAAAAGTTTAAACAATATTAACTCGCAATATCATAAAATCTAAAAAGGTAAAGTTGACTCAAATAGTCTAACATACGGGTGTAACTCGCTTCTTTACAAAGCCGATTTTGTCATAGTCACTTATTTTACGACCATCCCTAGATTTATGATTAATTTGCATAAATATGCCATAAACATAAGGCCAAACGCCCATGACGTCATCGTACCTGAAGGGAGTGGGAAAGAGAGGTGATTGTCCAAAGCCACGTGCTATTCACTATTCATTCTACTGGTTTTCCCAGCAGTAAATGTTGACATATTGACTGATGCCCACCACATAGATTATAAACAATAGACATTTCTTTTTTTTTTAAAAAAAACGCATATTAAATTAAAAGACATCTGCATCTTTGAATGTTTAATAATAGATTCTTAAACATTAAAAGACATCTGCATCTTAATCATCAGTTAACAAAGAGATTTTTAAGAAAAACTAACAAATTTAAAACTTATACGCAAAGAATTATTTTTGCTTCTATTTATCGTCTCATATAAGCAGACTTTTTCACAGTAGATTTTTTTTTTCTTTCACAAACTGATTCTATGATACGATGTTTTTTGAAATGCATTTTTATTGTTTTTCTAGCTTTCTATTTTTATGATTATATGAAAGATTTTTCAATGTATTACCTACAAGAAAGAAAAAGAATCGGAGTCGATTTGAAAGTCTACATCTGTAAATGTCGATAAAAAAAAAAAACGAAAAACAACACCGATTTATAACCGGTTTTCCATCACCGGATCACAACTTTAACCAGGTCTTGTTATAGTTTTATCTCGTCAAAGTTAAATTATTTCATTACATTCGAGATTTTCCTTCACGGATTTAGATTACGTTACTTCTTGACAAATTTCCATACATTGCATACTTTCGATTTAATAGAGTAAATTTGTAAACATTCGATGACATAATTATAGTAAAGCGATTGTAATGTACTGCGTAAGTCGCTTCATAATAAGGAAATTGTTTAGGAAAATGTAAATAAAAATAAACAGAGTCTCTTTGTGATTTTGTTAATGTCTTCTTTCTAGATATTTAACACAAGGACAGACTATTCATTCCGAGTGCTACTACTTAGGCATTGAAAAAAAAAAACTTTATCTTTTATCCTTTTTTTTATTGTTGTTGTTACTTCTATCGCAAATAATATGGTTCTATTTGAAATATTCGATCAAAACAATACTCAATATTAATATAATAAAGGATTGGAGTTGGTTGGAATTCAGTTTAAACTTAGAAAATCTATAACTTGCGAAATTCATATTATTTCTGCAAATTGTATGAAGCTAGAGATTGAATATAAATTCAAATTTTATTAGGAATTATTAATTAAGCAATACCTTAAAAACTATTAATCATAATTATTTATAGCATTAAAAATACTTAACAAAATTCCTGTATAGGCCTGAAAATAAATGAATATAAAAATGCTTATATGTACTTTACTATAAGCATTTTATATTAATTTATATACAGGCCTTACAGGAAGACACTAAGAGAAGATTTTTTTATATGGTATCAGAAACACTTACGTAGTGTAAGAGAGCCACGTTATCCAATCTTGTAATTTACGCTTTAGATATTTTTCCAAATTAGTAAACAAGATTACAAATGAAATTTTGCTTCTTTTATATATGAGGAAATTTTCATTTGCATTTTCTTTCTAATCTTAGTAATTGTAATTAAATGCGATGGCAGTAAAACATAATAGAATATGAAAAAAAAGCTGTTAATACTAGAAGATATTTAAATATTACGTCCCTATTTTATTTAGATAACGAAGAGGACAAAATTAATTATTAATTTTTTTTTTTTTTTTGCAAATGAAAAGACACACACACACTACTTGAAAATTACCGTCTGATATAGATAAAATGAAAAGAAACTCGACAAATACATAAATACACAAATCTTTTAGCAATTTATATATTTAAAATATTGGCAATATATATATAAATATTCTCTTACTAGCGGGCAAAATAAGTAGAAAGAGGCTTCTAAAGAATGTAAGTTAAACGAAGAAAAAGCGAAAACAATTGTCCCGACAAAGGAGGAAACGATTCTGCATCCATCAGTTAACAATAAAACGTGCATCCGAGAAGCAAGAGGGGAAGAAGGATGAAAAAAAGGAGACAAAAACTCGGCTAGGAGATTGTGGTTGAAGCGCGATCGGAACGCCGCCCGTGGCTATGGAGTAAGATTATAGAGAAGAGAGGTTGTACAATTGATGGCCAACGATACCCGTACGATTAGGTAAGCCTAACGGTTGCCATTTTTTCTCCGGATGCCAAAAGGGAAAAAGAAATTCGGTTTCTTAGCTAAATTAACTGTTTGACTTCGGCATCATAGAAAATTCGACAAATAATCGCATTCTACTCGGCTCCCCGACGGTTTCCGGAAGTAAAATCGCGTTAAATTTAATTTGCATGCAACATTTACAGGAAAGAGAAACTTCTATAAGAAGAATAAAAGAATTATTCGTTTCCTCTTCTGTTAAAGAAAAACGCAAATAAAATATAAAATTCATTAAGTATGCCAATGGAATTAGAAGTACTTTACGTGATGGTCCGGTTTTGCATCCCGTTAACCAATATCTTCTTTTTGTGTTAACGCCTGGAAAAATTTCGTCCAAGGAGAGAGAATATTTTAAACCCAACTTATATCAGCAAACGGTTTATTGAAACAATATAATATCGCATCTTTATAGATGGGCCAATAGATATTCTTTAAGCTGTCAGAATCTATATCTTTTTCCCAGAATGTCTTCTCACATAGGACCATATTACTTATTACAATTTATTACGCCTGTATAAATAAACATCGGCACACAAAATAAAGTGAGTAGGAGAGACATCAAGTTGGTTATTTATGTTGCTCGTAGCGGACACGATGGGGAGACCATATATCACGTGGGGTCGCCGAGTAGGCGGATTTTTCCGGAAAGGATCGGTAAATTTTGGCTTTTTAGCTCCACCAAATTAAAATATGCGTCTTTCTCTCTGCCTAAATTAAAGCCGATTTTTTTTTCTTTCTTTCTTTTCGGCGTGTAACCGAATTGTCGATTGCTTTGCTGCGAAATATTTAAGGCAACGAATTGTATTATGTTTCTCAATAAAGCATTACCCGAAAAATTCGCCAAACCGTCGAAGATAACAGAAAAATGTTAAATTTAAACGTAATTTTACTTATTTTTCCCGATCGTTTCTAACAAAATCGTACCTGTTATGCTTCCGAAAATATCCTGTAATTTCTATCTTTTGCGAAGAGCAGAAAGAAGAAAAGAAGAAAAAGCCAAAGTTCAAACAACCTGCAGAAATTCGAACCCGAAGATATAGAGCAAAACTTAATCCGTCTTCTCCCGAGCAAGTAAGCAATCACGGAAATCCTAAACGACTTTTGTCAATTTAATTGGATAGCACGCTAACAAACCCAAGTGACGTGTGACACCTTGAGGTACAACTAAACACCTCCATTCATCTCTTCCATTCTTATTTTCCGCTTTAACCAACACTCGTCGTCTATGCAAAATTGCTGTTGACAAGTTCGGATATCGGGCAACAGATGTCGTTGACAGACTCCGTCTCGTCTGACCTTTCACCTCGGCAAACCAGTACGTGAAGGTCGGCGCCGAAAAATACTGTGTTAATTACGGTCACGTGGGTTTATTTCCGGTGACAAACGTGAACTTCCTACAGGCCATGCAGTTGACGTCGAGTTTCCAGTGAATCCCGTCAGGGGTCAGGCAGAGCGATCTATCTCTTCCGGCAGACTGCGTGACGTAGTCACTAGAGAATTACTCTTCCCTGTTGCAGTACCGACGGTGCTTCCCCAATTAAATAAAACGAAAAACTAGCAGAGTATAAACTAATCGACATTTTATTACTATAAGTATATTTTATCTCGAGCCAATCAGCTTTCGAGAGTCGCTCCGATTAAATTTCCATCCCCGTAGTTTATCCATTCGACACTAGATGTCTCCGTCCAAGTTCGACTCTTGTACTTTTCCGTTTTTCCCGCACGGCAATTAGGGAATAACCATTAACTTATTATCTTTTATTGAACTAAATGACCAGAAAAATGCTTAAAAACTTATTTTAATAGTCTCCGATTACGAGAAAATTGCTTTATTTAGATGCTTATTAAGAATTTTCTAGTTATTTTGATTAAAATTTAATAATTACAATAATCAAGCCAGGCAAACCTATTATAGATTTAAATCGGTCGACCACCCATTATAATAATAATCCGTTTTATTATTAATAAACAAAAATTGGATTTTTAATAAAATACGATTAAATTTCTTTTATGGTAATAATTTTATTATTAATGACGCTAAAAATATTTACAGTTGCAACAGAAAGAACAGGTTAAATAAGCTGCGGCTCTTATAGAATTTTCCATTTTTATGACTATTTAAATGATAAAAAGAAAACGTTATCGAAGAAACCAATGACGCAAAAGCACTTGGTAACTCATTGTAAGTAACCCTGACGTTTTCGTTTCTCTACATTTATATCGAGTGAATAATTAATGTCATAAATATCAGAAAATAAGAAACCTGTTCTGTGAATATAGTCATCGTGACAATATCCATTCATTTGTGAGATCTGCTGAATCACGTATTAGTTTTCATTCTGATGTTTTCGCAAACAATTATTACCTACTTCGATTATATATAACGAAAGGTTTCTTATAACGGGGGAAGAGCAAAAAACAACTTTTGCCTTTCAGCTTCCTAGGAAAAAGGATATAAAATTTTAGTTTTATTTCATAACTGCAGATGGCATTGCTCACTTATTAACATCCCTTTATTAACAGTTATTTATGTTGCATTAAACAAGAAGAAAATGTCAGAAATTTTGACATTGCAAAAAAAAAACATATTAAATATAAATCTCTGTGACCTTCAATGAGAGTTATGGCGCTTAATAAACATTGAATAATATATTATTTACAGATTTCAGCTAGGCACACATGTTTGTGCATAAATATAGATATTTTTTAATATATAAATTGGAAAAAAAAATCATTTAAAAATAAAAGTTATCAATTCGAAGATAATTTTTGCGATAACTTTCAACTCTATCATAAATATACATTGATAGTTTCTCGTGGATTAATTATAAAATGTTTAAATTATTATCTTATTAGCATATCCAGGAAAAATATCAGTTATCACGTTAATCTTAATTACTACATAAATATTATTTATATTAAATAATGCCTATATATATATACACAGTTTAATGCAAAGCATTGGTGCAATGCTCATGCAACAAATCCGGCAAATAAATCCCCGTTGGAAGAAACGTTTGAAGGGGTTAACGTAGTCTGGCATATCAAAATATAGAATGCAAGATGATTTCAAGCCATTAATATATATATATAAAATATATTTCTTACCTTCGTAATAACTTGGCATTTTTATAAACAAGAAAATAACGCTTTTATCCTGATGCACATGGCTTTGAGGAAGAGTTGCCAACCGGAATGACGATGATACGACCCGATATGCTGTACGTTTAACACCTGTGTGACGGGTGGTTGTCGGTGACGTCACCACCCACGTGACAGCTGGGGGAGGGTCACGTGAATGCCTATCGATCATTGAGAGGAGAAAGGGAATGGATAGTGAGAACCGGTCAGTTGTGCTACGCGAGCGTGGGAAAGTGAAGTGTATGTTAGACCGTGATTTATACGAGGGAATGAAAGGTCGAATGACTCGGCTAAAGTCAGGTAAAAAGAGAATGACAGGTATGCCAAGAATAATACGGATGGCTGTTTGGTATACAATCTTCGAATTTAATCTGAATTTAAAAGTCCTCCTTAACTAGAAATATTCTTAAAGATGAAAATTAATAAAGAATAATAAATAGCACAAAAAAAAACGTTTCGCCTATTGCAATAAGATAAAATATCTCATTTATCATAAGAATAACAATACTTTTATCTAAAAGTTATTATATAAACAATCTTCATATATTATAATTCAATAATTCATCGGCCGACATAACCTCGAATATGACAGTTGGCATCAATGTACAATGCATATAGAAGATTGTCAACCGTTGCGAAATACGGTAGTGTTGCCACATTAATAATAACCACAAAATAGTCTAACAATGGGATCTCGATGTGAAGTTGTAAGAGCGACTGACAAGTTTTAGTTTTCTATTTGACTAATACAGATGTGTAGCCTATTGTGATGTAAACAAACATATCAAAGTGTGGACACAATGACGTTGAACATTGAAGTGATTAATAGGCCCGAAGAAGAAATACAAGGGTGGGGGAATAAAATGGAAACCTGTTCTGCGATAGCGTGATTCCTCTTGCTCGAAAGTACAACTAGAAAGCTAGGATTAAGTGGAAGTCAAAGATTGTTTGCAAAGGATACATTTGTCACAACTAGCCTCGAGGTTGTCGCTGACTGATACCTGCACGTCTAATCTAGCATCCGGTCTATTCTTTGACCAATGAAATAAATGATGGACGATGGATAACTATCTAATGACGTCACTGGTCACGTGCGAGTCGCAATGTTTATTAAGAAATAAAAAAGAAATCTACCGGAATATCTTGATGTAATTTATGAGCACCGATGACACCCAGAAGGCATCTGGGTAGATACAATGAAATTTTCACATTTTCTAATCAAGAATAAGAGTTACGATGATGGACCGGAAGCCAAATTGCCACATTGACGAAAGTTGCCTTTTAGCAAAGCTTGTAAACGTAAGCGCTGTATTAAAAAAATTAACTGATAAGAATCTCTATCATCATCGTTTCTGACTTCTCCGAATTCTAGGTGATGATGAAGATGATGATGATAATTTATTCTAGTTTAAATTCGAGATACATTCATCGAAAACGCACAGCATAAAACGGAATTCGATGCTAACTAGCAAAACGAAGAGAAAGGTTCTTAGTAGAGTGAAAAATAAACCGTTTATCTTTGTTTCGATAAAGCTTTTCTTTCTTTCTCTCGTGAGAACCAAACATAATTTCCGTTCAGGTCAAAGTATGCATCGCGGACTAGAAACATATATCTTAAACAGAATTTTTTCCTCTAGTGCCGTCAGGAACAAAAACTAGCGGTAAATGAATAATATTTTTTTCCTTCTTTTAGTTCAAGTGAATCTTTAAGAAGTGACATTTTGAACACCTGAAGGGATGTGGCCTCTCTGTCCTGCATGACCTAAAAGAGTATCTATTGTTTCATTAATTAACTATGCCCCACCATCGCCATGTGTCAGCTTTGCAGGCGTTATCCCCTCAGGGGAGCGAATTGATAATTAGCAAGATGTACGTATCCAGAAAGAAATAGTCATATAAAGTCACGGGTGAAGCAACTGTCACCGGTTTTTGTCGCTGTCACGACTCAAATGTCTTTCGCCGTACAGGGATGAAATTGTTTTCTCATGCCTACAGTTCATTAGATGCGTCTGTCATCTCGAGTTATTGCTGGTTTTATTTTTTCTTCAGTTGTTGATAAAGTGATGTTTGTCAAGACTTTTTAGCAAAGTTTGTTTCATTTCAAAATGTCATTTTCTGAAAAACAATTAGAAGGTAATGAAATATCTTAGTCGAAATTTGGAAACTATGGAAAATTAATGTAATTTTTTTACATCAATTTCGTCTTGCACCTTTCTTTGTATATTTTTTTAATATGTTTCTTCTGTAGTTTATATTATTTAATGCAGTTATTCTGTTTAAATTTTTCTAATAAAAATAATAAATAACATAACAGAAATTTATATCAATTTTCTTAATTATTAAATCAATCATTAATCGCAAACAAAGAAAGAAAAAAAAAACAAGAATTATCAATGTATTTCTAGAAATGCAGCAAGAAACATCTCTTATGAAAGCATTTACTATGATAGTTAATTTGGCCAGTTAAAGATTTTAAAATTATATAAATATATTTTTTTTTCTTAGAAAATCAAACGCTTCGATGCCATTTGATTAAGTCTACGTAAACAAAAAACAATAGAACACGTAATGACAATAATAACACTACAGTCATCTTGTTTATTATTATTTATTTATGACATAGTTCTGTAATTTAAAGCGAGTAAAAGAAGAGAAAAATTGCAATTTCGTCGAAATGAGATGCAAGAACAATGAGAGCTTTAATGTTTTTACATATCTATATCGTCGGAATGATAATAAGCAACGTCAATCAGAGATAGATCAAAGAGGCCAACTAGATCTAATATGCATAATCACTTTGGTACTGTTTATTAAAACAGTAGCTTAATTATTATTATTTGAATCCGACATTAATGCAAAGGCCATAACTAATTTCTGCATCAACAACATCTCTTCTGTTTTAATAGACTATTCATTAAATGAAAGTAGAACTTGTATACAGTTTTAACCAGGCCAGTCGCATCCTTTCATTTTGCTATGAATGGATTTTAAGAATACCGTATACGTTGTAAAGCGTAAAAATGTATTTGCATTGATGACTTCCATTGAATTTTCATAATAATAACGGTAAAATAAGAATTTGTGGCGCTTTATTGGATTAAAAAAATATAATTCAAAAAAGTGACACGTCTCCCTTTCCGATTAGCTCTACTAAGACGGACGAGCCAAGGAAGTGTCCGTCAAAACTGTCAGATTTAATCAACAATCTAATCCTATATTTTGCCCCGAAAACCTAACAATTTCCAATTTTTTTCAGATACAAAAAAAAAAATATATGTTGACCTCTTAGTTAATAAAGCCCAATCGATTTAAACCTTTGTTATAAACTTATTCCAATTTGAGCATTGGGATGTCGTGGATGGAACCGCAGTTTTGTCTCCGCGGACATTACTATCGTGTTAACACCATGTGCAAACTTTACTCGGCGAATTTAAAAGGAAAAACGATTAGAAAAAAAAAAACAGCGCAGGAAATCAATCGCCGAGTGGAAAACTGACGACTGGAAATCCGTAAGGAGAATAACAATATTTAATATATCGATTGGAGTATGTGGTGTAAACACCGCAAGAACAATTGCCGACTAGCTTATTTATCAATCCTTGCCTTAAAAGGATAATCAAGCTTTAAATTAAAGACTAAAGTGAATTAGTCCCACTCGGATAATGTCGCATTAAACCATCTCGTACCTTGATTAATTGATCTG